ATTTAATGAAATTAGGAACTCCCTCCCTTTTAAACTTAGTGTGAGTAAGGTTAAAAAATAGGACTACTAGTACATATTGATTATACTACTTTGATCTTTGTTCTAATGGGCCAGTGGTTTTATGCTCCCCTCACCTTTGCACCGTAATTGCAGATGAAAAAAGTAAATAACTTCCTTGCATTCTTTTGAAAATAGTTTTAATTTTATGGACTGCTGCATAGGGTCTTGAGGAATACCAGGAATCCAGAGTTCGCAGTTTGAGAACTATTGTTATAGACCTTAGGAGGGTGACTTGATTTAAATTGTGGGAAAGGTATTCGGGAAAGTATCTCCGAGGAACAGATTATTTATTTATTTATTTATTTATTTATTTATTTATTTTGAGACGGAGTCTTGCTCTGTCGCCCAGGCTGGAGTGCAGTGGCGCAATCTCAGCTCACTGTAACCTCCACCTCCTGGGTTCAAACAATTCTCCTGCCTCAGCCTCCTGAGTAGCTGGGACCATGCCTGGCTAATTTTTTGTATTTTTAATAGAGATGGGGTTTCACCGTGTTAGCCAGGATGGTCTTGATCTCCTGACCTCATGATCCGCCTGCCTCGGCCTCCCAAAGTGTTGGGATTTCAGGCGTGAGCCACCGCACCCGACCGAGGAACACATTTTTTAAGCCAGGCTAGCCAAGCAAAGGGGAACAAAAGCATGGGTTTAAAAAGTTTGAAGTAGGCAAAGTTGTTGGTGTTATCAAGGAACTGCAGGAAGACCAGTATACATAAAATATTATGATCAAGGTGAGCAAGAGTAATAGCTAATTTGCTAGTGCATTTGAGAGTGCAGAGCCCATTTTAAGGATTCTAGATTTTATCTTGTGACCATGAAATGGCATGAAAGGCTTTAAGCAAGGGAAGTGATAAGATCTATGTTTCCAGAAAATGACTTTGACTGTTTAAGGAATTTAAAAAAATGATACATTTTAGTTCTTTTCCATATTGGTAGTTGACACAACATCTGAGATTCTCTAAAATCTCAGAATTCAGGATGTACTTAGGTAGTAGTAACTTGATTTTGATACGTATTTTTCAGAAAGCCTTGCAGGACAGAAAAAGAGAGCAAAAAGAAATGCTTTTTGGGGCCAAATGACATTTTTTTCTTTGGTTAAAATGTCTTCACTTCCTGTGAAACACCTTTACAAAATTACTTATGTTCCATTATTTGGACTAAGTAGCTGAATAAACAGTCATGAGGGTACACACTCAGGCAGCTTATACATTGGGTGCACAGACTACATTCATCGTTGGAACTCCACAAATGTGAATTCTTTATTATAGCTATTATATATGAAGTGCATTTATTTCTAAGAGAATGCCTACTGATCTTGCCCGTCCCCCCCATTTTTTCATATTAAAGGCTTTTTTTTTAACCTGTGTATCAACAATGATGTTGTGCTAATATTGAAAAGTTACGCCTTTAAAGACAAAGCACCTTGCAGTCAAATAACGGGAGAGAAAGTGGCATTGCTTCTAATGCCTCTTTTATTTATTTCTCTTCAAAATATTCCTGTGGCCTTGGTGTTTATGGATCTAGCATTCTAACAAAGAAAATGCATGAACTTCAATGTACACTATTCATTTTCTTTTGTTAGCATTTAGCTAACAAAGAGACCCATTTTGAGATTACTACAGGTTTAAATGCCCGATTTTACTTTCCTTTCAATGACATTTAGCTTTTTCTGGTTTTGTTTTTGGATATATTGCTTTTAAGGGTTTTATATTGAGGGGACTTAAACATTTTTTTTCTTATTACTTCTTTTAATCAAATATGGAACTTCACTTGGCTATTGGCGAGTTTTCTACCAAATCAGAAAGAATCTGTAGAGTACACAGTTGGTTAATTGAGATTGGTGGGGCTCTTTTTCCTTCATCTAGATTGGGGCAGACAAAAAGGCAAACAAGGAAAGTAGTCAGGTATCAGAAGAGTTAATTAGGTTTCTGGCAGACCTCTGTTGTTTATTTCTGGAGCAGTGTATCTTTTGGCTATTGTTAGAACCTTATTACACTTAGGAAATTTATGTATGCCTTGAATTTAGATTGTTATTTTAAAAATCACTTCATATTTTTTGTTTTAGATTTTCCACAAGTGCTCTGATGTTAAATATTCTTTGTCTGTCTTTTCATATATTTCTCAATCAGAAAAATGCCCTTTCTCATTATTTGATTCTTGGTTCATGTACTACCTGGCCCTAGTCATGTTACCTAAACATTTCTGAATTACCATTGTCTATAGCCCACATTAGCCTTTAATTTAAAAAAAAGTGTCATGTTATTTATTTATGTGCTGTTAAGATAGGTGACCAGAGTGCTATCTTTTAGTTTTCTTCATTTAGAAATCTATAGATTTGACTTTTTTTTTGAAATGGTTCTTGAATTGATGATACAGGTGGTGACAAGAAGTGAGGATTAGCAGTGCTAATAACATAATGAAGGAAGAGAGGTAGAAAGAAAGATTCTGTCTTCTATAAGGAACTTAAATTAACGAGCAAAAAGCCGTCTAGTTAAAAAGAGGGCAAAGGACATGAACAGACTCTTTTCAAAAGAAGATACATACGTGGCCAACAAGCATACCAAAAAATTCTCATAATCAGTAATCACTAGAGAGATACAAATCAAAACCACAATGAGATACCACCTGATAATAGTCAGAGTGGCTATTATTGATAAGTCAAAAATTAACAGATGCTGGCAAGGTTGTGGAGGAAAAGAAATGTTTATACATTGTTGGTAGTAGTGTAAATTCATTCAGTCATTGTGGAAAACAGTGTGGCGATTTCTCAAAGAACTTAAACCAGAAGTAGCTCTGGACCCAGCAGTCCCATTATTGAATATGTACCTGAAGGAATGTAAATTGTTCTGCCATAAAGACACATGCACACGTGTGTTCATTGCAGCACTGTTCTCAATAGTAAAGACGTGGAATCAACATAAATGCCCGTCAGTGGTAGACTAGATAAAGAAAATGTGGTACGTATGTACACTATGTAATATTACACAGCTCTGTAAAAGAATGAGATCATATCCTTTGCAGCAACATGGAGCTAGACACCATTATCCTAAGCAAACTCCCACAGGAACAGAAAATCAAATACTGTGTGTTCTCACAAGTAGGAGCTAAATATTGAGAACATACGGACATAAAGAAGGGAACAACAGACACTGAGACCTACTTGAGGCTAGAAGGTGGCAGAAGGATGAGGATAAAAAAACTACTTATGGCATACTAGGTTTATTACCTGGGTGTCCAAATAATCTGTACACCAAACCGTGGCAACATGTAATTTACCTGTATTACAAACCCATACAGGTACCCTTGAACTTAAAGTAAAAGTTAAAGAAAAGGATAATCTGCTTCTGACCAGAAATGGCCTGTGGATGAATGTTTGCTGTGTGTGCTGTCTTAAGGAGGTTCTGGGACTCTAAACTGAGAATCACTTATCCACAACTTTCTTTGTTTTTTTTTTTTCATAGCAGAACAACTTAATATGCACAGCTTTATCTCCTCCCTCCCTCCCTGCAATATATGAAGTAACATATAACCAATAATTGGTTAATTTTCTTAGCTGTAATAGAATTTTATAAGAATAAATATATTGCTAAAGCACACATTCCCTGGCCTGCAAATTTTTGATACAAAAGAACTAGCTCATCTCTCAGCTTTTGTTCATTAATTGAGCAATCAGTAATACTTTTCTAGCTACATAGCATATCATATATTTTCTTCAAATAGTTTTGGCTTTATGAGGCTGTAAGTTTTGTATGTGATGTGGGAAGGTTGGTTCATGTGAATATTGGAGAACAGAGAAGATTGATAGCTTTGGAATTCAGATTGTAGGGCAGGTTGGATATTTGACTTAATGAGAGGAAATTAACATTACTCTTGATGTCAAGATAAAGAGATTGTACAGATTTAAGCTACACTTTAGCTCAGTTCTTTTCTTTAGACTACAGTGCAAATAACACATAATCTAGTTTCTTTGTTTTTGAGAATGACTTCTACTTGAATGGGAATAGAGAAAGCTTGTTGTATAGAATTCTTTTCAACAAGATGCGTTTTTCACCCTACCATGGAGGAAATATGGAAATAGCTTTATCAGAATGCCTTTTTATAGTGGATATTTTGTATAGGTATTTAGAATTTTATGCTATTATGTATTTTTATTAAAATCATGGTGGATCTTAGAAGTTTATTTTAGAATGTGTTAGAATTTTGAAATTTTAATAGCTTAAATGTGTAAAATCCAGTTAATAAAATCCAGCTTCTGAAAACCTGTTGTATCCTTGTCATTGTGCATACAGAGATTATTTTATGTATAGTGGTTTGGTTTACTGTATTAATTAATAGCTGGTATTTCCAAGTACTGAATATGATTCTTTTAAAGGTCATCCAACAAAGACAGAAATAAGGAATTGAACTTAACTGAGGAGCAAGTCATTATTAGGTGTATTAGTTTGCTAGGGCTGTCATAATAAAATACCACAGATTGGGTGGTTTAAACAACACAAATTTATTTTTTAACAATTCTGGAAGCTTGAAGTTCAATATCAAGTTTGTCAGGGTTGGTTTCTCCTGAGGCCTTTCTTCTTGGCCTGTTGTAGGTGGCCGCCCTCTTGTTGCCCCTTCTGACATGATCATATCTCTGTGCAGGCATACTTCTGGTGTCTCTTTTTCCTATAAGGACACCAGACTTATTGGATTAGGTCCCCACCCTAATGGCCTCATTTGAACTTAATCGCCTCTTTGAAGACCTTATCTCTAAATAGCATTACAGTCTGTGCTACTGGGGATTGGTTCTTCAACATGTGAATTTTGGAGGGGAACACAGTTCAGCCATTAACAGTTGGTAATTAAGAAGGAAAACAAGTGGTTTGTAAGAATTGCTTTTTTCTCTTTTATTTAATAAGGTTTGTGTAGAAGTGCAATTGTTCCGTGTTTTTTGTTGTGTGTCTCCTAGCCGGAGAATTTTCATCCTTGGGCCTTCTCATCATGTGCCCCTCTCTCGATGTGCACTTTCCAGTGTGGATATATATAGGACACCACTGTATGACCTTCGTATTGACCAAAAGAGTAAGTATATAGAAATAGCTTTCAAATAGCTAATGTTCTTTTAATAGGACTTGGAAGTTAATTTAAAAACTTATAAATGTGAGCATCACAAGTAATATCTCAATATTTAAAATAAAATTTGTTATAACTAATCTGCATAAAACAGCAAAAAAAGAAACTCTTCCATATCCCTAAAAGGCAACTAGTGTTTTTCAGCTAGCTACAGAAATCTGTCAGATCCACCAGTGTGCAGATTGTAGTGGTTACATTAATATTCAGAAAAATGCCATGTACTCAGTGTACCAGGAGACGAAAAATTAGTACCCATACCAATTTCATGAAAGATTCTGGGCGTGTTAATCTACTTCTACGTAATGCCACTTTCTCACTGTAAATAGATAATGCTGATAATATCTTTATTTTCTTGTAAATGATTTTTATGGGAAAAAAATGAGCCTTTATGAAACTCTGAAAGAAACATGCTATATAAATGATAAATATATTTTATTTTTAAACATGCCTACAATTAAGATTGATTTATATTTTTCCATAGGAGTCCAGAGTTACATTTTTATTTAGTTGTTCTTATACAATAGATGTATAAAGTAAAAACCTTTTGATTTTATAAAGGTATTTTTTTTGGGGGGGGAGGAGTAATTTTAAAAATACAGAACAGTATAAAGAGTAGTATAAGAAATTAACTGATGTACTTAACATCCATAATTTATTCAGAGTTTCTCGCTCATCCTGAACCCAATTTACCTTCCCAGAAGTAACCACCTTCATAATCTGGGTATATATCCTTTCAGTTGGTCAAATTATTCACACACATGCACGCACACACACATATATATATGTACACACACACACACTGACCCATACATATTTATTTTTGATTTTAGAGATGGGATCTCACTCTGTTGCCCAGGCTGGAGTGCAGTGGCATGATTATAGTTCACTGCAGCCTCAAACTCCTGGGCTCAAGTGATTCTCCTACCTCAGCCTCCCAAGTAGCTAGAACTACAGGCACACATCACCACACCCAATTTATTTAAAAAATTTTTTTTGTAGAGGTAGGGTCTTGCTATGTTGCCCAGGCTGATCTTGAACTCCTGGTCTCAAGCAATTCTCCTGTCTTGGCCTCCCAAAGTGCTGGGTTTATAGGTGTGAGCCACTGTACCTGGCCTCAAATTATGTTTTTAAGCATGTTAGGGGTGTTATTGTTTCAAAAAATTTTGCAAAAATTTCTTGTATAGAATAAAAGAGTCGAAGCCTAGTGTGGTGGTTCATGTCTGAAATCCCAGCACTTTGGGAGGCTGAGATGGGCAGACTGCTTGAGCTCAGGAGTTTGAGACCAGTCTGGGCAATGTGGCAAAACCCCGTCTGTACAAAAAAATACAAAAATCTGCTGGGTGTGGTGGCACATGACTGTAGTCTCAGCCACCTGGTTGGGAGAGGGCGTGGGGCAGTGAGGTAGGAGGATGGCTTGAGCTCAGGAGGTAGAGGTTGCAGTGAGCTGAAATCATGTTGCTGTACTCCAGCCTGGCCTGGGTGACAGAGTGAAGCCCTGTCTCCAAAATTAAATAAATTAATATGGAAATAAATAAAATAATAAAAGAGTCCATTTGCAAGAAAAAATTCTTTTTTCTTGTTTTTGGCATAAGTTTTCATAATTTGGGGCTTTAGGTATCATAGAATATTAGCAATTTGTTAGTGCATCTTATTAATGAAACGACTATTTCTAACCTTACTTGCTGAGATGTTTTAGGGAACATATTTTACTTTTAAAACCTTGTTGGGGCATTCAGAAAATTTTAATTTTGGATAGCTTGCCAGTGAAGAAATGGAGAATTTTTTCAAGATAAGAGGTCATACAACCATTTCTTTCTGTCTTTGGTATAGGTAAACCCATTTGAGGATTTGTTCTATTCTATGCTAAAAATATTATTATATATATTTTTTACACATTAACTTTTATCTCTTTCTTGTTCTACAATATTCAGTTTTAAGTATAGTTCATCAGAAGGGCCTGAATTACTAGTCTTTTTAAGTTGGGATGGTATTGTGGCAAATTTATATTTTGATCTATCTTACAAGCTGAATTTTGAATTTTCAGGAAAATAGCATTAGTGAGAATTTTCTCTTCGTGGTATGGCAGAAATCTGAGGTGTGAAATAATACCACACGTTTTATTAAAAAAACTCAGAAACTATGCGTTTGACCTCATGAGTTAAATAGACCAATGGTTTTTCCATATTTCAGTAGGAATTCTAATTATGTTCTTGCTAGCATGTACTGATTAAAGCCAAGGAAAAGCCTAGACCCAAAGGTGATTTTAGAAATAATGAAAGGAACTGATGAAGAGTTTAAATGATCATTTTTTATTTAACTATGTAACATATGCAAATGATGAGTAAGTCTTTACATGTATTACTGTTTTACCTGTTACATAAAAACTAGTTCTGTTTTTTTCTCTTTCTCCTTACTCTCCCTCCTTTCTTTCCTTTCTTTCTATTGTTTTGTTTTAATAAAAATGCAAGTATTATATGGTGTTTCTGTCTCTTGCCAAAGCATGTAGTTTTGTGTTACTGGGTGGAATCTCACTGGATAAGGATATGCATTAATATATTTGTTTTACTGTATTTTGAAATCTCTTTAGTTTACGGAGAACTATGGAAGACAGGAATGTTTGAACGCATGTCTCTGCAGACAGATGAAGATGAACACAGTATTGAAATGCATTTGCCTTATACAGCTAAAGCCATGGAAAGGTATATTGATTGATATAAGAAATCCCCAGGAAATCATAGACATTAATTTCTTTGGTAATTTAAAACTAGTAAATCCCAGTAATTATCAGGGTAAAGGAATGAGATAAAAAATTGAGACAGGAGTGTCTTAAGGTGGATTGTTGGTTTTGAGTAGTTTTCCTACAAAGGCTGAACATGTGAATTGACATGATTGTTTTATTACCTGGAAGTATTAAAAAAGCCATGGGTATGTGAGTGTATGTGGGTATGTATATATCTTGCTTTGCTTGTATTTTATTCATTCGACATTTCTTTATCTCAAAATAATAATTCCATTCTTTTCTGGTACAATGCTATAATTAATCGTAAAATTTTAGGCTTGTATTTAATTTTGGAGGTGATTTATTTCAACCTTGTGCAAGGTACATGAATCTCTTTTATGGTATGCTTGACAGACTGTTAGGTGGTACCTGCTAAACATCTTCCTGTGATGGGGGGTACTCACTGTACTGTGAGCTGAACGAGGACAGGGTCAATATCTGTTTTGTTCTCTACTGTATACCCCACCACCTAGCACAGTGTCCAGCACATAGTAGTTATTAATGTATTTTGATAAAATAAAAAATAATTATTTCAAGGATTTTCTTCTTTTAGTGAAACATTTGGATTAGGATGTCTTCTCTTTTGTAGGTTTCTCTAATTTTTAAAACCATTTCCTATATATGGACTTAATATTTCATATTTAGTTTGGCAGTTCTAAGTATGGTAAGATGATTCCTTCTGGATTTGTTCATTATATTTTCTTACTAAAGTACATGATGCTCTGTAGGCTTTCAGTAAATATTAATTAAACGTACTAATAAAGTCTAAGATAACATTATATTTTTTATGTTGATGTGGCTTACTGTTGGCTAATGTACTTGTGATCAGCCAAAGCCCAAGGCCTTTTCATAATATTCAGATGGATTATTTTCTGTTCTCAGACTTTTGTGTGATTTCTTTTTGTATGTCTTCTCAATTATTGCTGTTTAGTTTTTCTTGTTTAGTTCATTGTTGCAGTCTTTTTGGATTGTTTCCACTCTTACTCTGTATTCAAAGTATTATTTACTTTTCTCAGTCTTTTGTCTGCTTCTGCTCACAATGATAACCGTGAGGAATTATATAAATCTGAAGAATTTTCAAAAATCAGTGCGATACTACATTGTAAGCAATATAATTTTCGGGTTTTTAATACATTCTAATTCTTCAGAAATGTGAAACCATATGTATTATTTCTTAAATTGTTGTTGTAATCAGAACTTTCTCTTCTTCAACTGGAAAAGATAATTGAATATTTTTATTCACTGAGATGTTTGCATATTTTGTCATGAGAAAATACAATTTAGACTTAATAAATACTAATACTTCGGGTGCAGTGGCACATGTCTGTAATTCCAGCAGCACTTTGGGAGGCTGAGGTGGGCAGATAACTTGAGCCCAGAAGTTCAAGACCAGCCTGGGCAATGTGGCAAAACTCTTGTCTCTACTAAAAATAGAAAAATTAGCCATGTGTAATGTCGGGTACTTGTTGTCCCAGCTACTTGGGAGGCTGGGGTGGGATGATTGCTTGAGCCTGGCTGGTTGAGAGTGCAGTGAGCCGAGATTATGGCACTGCACTCCAGCCTAGGTGACAGAGTGAGACCCTGTCTCAAACAAATAAACCCAAAAAACAATAGGACTGATAAACTGACAACAATATCCTCAAGGAGGTTATAACAAGATAACATTTTTATTGTTATTTTAAAAGTAAAACATGTACATTGTGGAACATTTAGGAAAATAGAAACTTAAACCCAGCAAACCAAATTCCTACTTACAATTCCCCCTTTTAAATAGTATCAAATAAACTACTGCCACATAACATTAGGATCCCTATTATTGACCCTTCTTTTCTTTGTAGCATTAGTTGGACTCATCACCTATGTCAGTTATTTATTACTAAGTAACAAAACTCTTACTTAAAATTACCTATATCAGTTATCTTTTACTAACTAACAGATTTAAACTGTGACTTAAAATCACAGCTGTTTATTGCCTAAAATTTGGGGGCCAGGAATTGGGGCAGGGAACACCTTGCTCTGGTCCACAAGACACTGACTGAGGTGGCTCAAATGGGGCTACAGTATCTCAGATAGTGTCACTCATGTATCTTGGGCCTTAGTGCTAGCTCTCTGTTGAGACCCCTCATTTGTTCTCCAGCTGACCTGTTTGTTCATCAAGTAGGGCTTTTTTTTTTGCGGGGGAGGGGGCTACTCTCTAGAAGAATAGCTTAGACTTCCTTTTTTCTTCTTCTTCTTTTTTTGGATCAAGAGAGTAAAACCAGGAGTTTCTAGGCCTATTATGTCCTAGGCTGGAAACTACATAGCACATTTCCAGTGAATTGTGTTTTTCAAAGCAAATAAGATCACTGTGTCAGCCAAGATTTGAGGAAAAGAGCAATATATTGCTCCTCTTGATGGGAGGAGTAGCATGTGTGTACAGGAATAAGAGAAACTGTTGACAGCTATCTTTGCTGGTGGTCTACTACAGTTCTTCCTCTGGTGGACAATTCGTGTCTCTCTAACATGTCATATACACCCAGGCTTCTCAGGATGTTCAGAAATCTTATTTGCTGTGACCCTAGGCTCAAAATTTATTATCTTATGATTTCCATCAAGTTAGGATGTGAATGAGGCTCCTTGAGTGTGGTTCCTCTTTTTTTGGAGGGGAGATGTAGGGGGGAAAGATTCTCAGCTCTGTTGCCCAGGCTGGAGTGCAGTGGCATGATCATGGCTCACTGCAGCCTCTGCCTCCTGGTCTCAAGTAGTCTTCCCACCTTGGCCTCCCAAAGCAATGGGATTACAGGCATGAGCCACTGTGCTTGGCCTCTCTTTTTTTTTTTTTTTAAAGAGGCAGGGCCTCATTCTGTCACCCAGGCTGGAGTGCAGTGGCACAATTATAACTCACTGTAGCCTTGAACTCCTGGGCTCAAGGGATATTCCTACCTCAGCTTTCAGAGTAGTGGCCCTACAGGTACGTACTACCATATCTGGCTAATTTTAAAAACATTTTTTTAGAGACGGGTCTTACTTTATTCCTCAGGCTGATCTTGAACTCCTGGCCTCAAGCGAGCTTCTTGCTTCAGTCTCCCAAGTAATGTCTTAGTTACGTATTGCAGCATAACAAATCACCTTAATGTATGTATTTTTTTCTTTTTTAAAAAAAGTTAAAAACAAACTTAATTTTTTGGGTGCATGGTGTATAGATGGGGTACATGAGAAGTTTTGATACAGTCATGCAGTGTAAAATAATCACATCATGGAGAATGGGGTATTAATCACTTCAAGCATTTATCCTTAGTGTTACAGGCAATCCAGTTATATTCTTTTAGTTACTTAAAAATGTACAATTGAGTTATCGACTATAGTCACCCTGTTGTGCTACCAAATACTAGGTCTTATTCATTCTATTTTATTTTGTATCTGTTAACCATCCCCACCTACCCTCTAGCCCTCCACTATTCTTTCCAGTCTCTGGTAACCATCCTTCTACTCTCCATGTCTGTGAATTCAATCGTTTTGATTTTTAGGTCCCACAAATGTGTAGTTTTTCACTTAAACGATTCTATAGTTTGGAAATTTGGTTGGGTTAGTGGAGACAATTTGTCTCTGTTTCATCTACTACCAGTTGAGGCAGTTCAACTTAGGCTAAAGACTCCAAGATGCCCTAGCTTCCTCTCTGGGGCCGTGGTGCTGGTTGTCTTCTTGAGGCACATCAGTTTTCATCTTGGTTCTCATCTGTCAGTGCCTGTTGACACTCACCCTTCAGGACTTCTCAGTTCACATGGTGAATCCTCTCTAGCAGGATAGCAATTGAGCAAAAGAAGAAATTTCCTGCTCTCTTAATGTCAAAGTCTAGAACTGGCACAGCATCACTCATGCCTCATTCTACGGGTCAAAGCGCATCATAAGGCTAAATTCAAGGAGAGGGAACTACGGATGCTACTTTTGATGGGAGGAGTGACATTGAGCATTGAGATGTGAAAAGAATTTTTGGTGATTAGATTCATAGAAACTGTGGTTAAGTAGTTGAGGGATTATTTGTATATAAGTCTGTGTCCCTTCCATCGTAGTTCCATAGTGTTTTCTCCCGGGAGCAGCTAGTCTTCAGTATATCTGCTATGCATTGCACAGTACCTGGTACACAAAAATATTTCAGTAATTGTTGAATGAATTAATAACTGTCTTGCCATTTTCAATACTTTAATTGTTTTTCCAAAAAGTGGATCAAATGTTCTTTTTAAAAAAGAAATTACATTTTTTTAATTTTCAAAAAATAAACTCTTGATCATCTTCGGCTACAAATATTCTTTTTTTAAACTGCTTTTCTTGTCATGAAGGTATTTTCCTGTCATTTTTTTACTTCAGTTTATTGGCTATACATAAGACTTTCTAGGCAAAGATGCTTGTAATACTGCAATCAATTCTTGACCATTTAACTTTTAAGCTTTCCCCCTATTTTTCACTATTATAAACCACATTATGTATTTAAAAAAAATAGATGTCTAAGGTATTATTTAAATTTCTGCTTTTTTTTTTTTTTTTTTGAGATAGAGTCTTGCTCTGTCACCAGGCTGGAGTGCAGTGGCACGATCTTGGCTCACTGCAACCTCTGCCTCTTGGATTCAAGTGATTCTCCTGCCTCAGCCTCCTGAGTAGCTGGGATTACAGGCGCCTGCCACTATGCCCAGCTAATTTTTGTATTTTTAGTAGAGAAGGTGTTTCACCATGTTGGCCAAGATGGTCTCCGTCTCTTGACCTCGTGATCTGCCCGCCTCGGCCTCCCAAAGTGCTGGGATTACAGGCATGAGCCACCGTGCCCGGCTGCATGTTTGTAATAGATTTAAAAATTATATTCATTAGAGCTTTTTAAAAAAATAGTAGTCTAAAGGAGAAAACATAAAATGACTCACAATCTCATTGCTCAGTTAACTCTGCTGACAT